TGCTGCTGCTGCTGCTGTTGTTGTTGATGCTGTTGATGCTGTTGATGCTGTTGATGCTGTTGATGCTACTGCTGCTGCTTATGTTGACATTGATAGTATTGAAAAAGTCGTGAGAACTGATATTCAGATGTAAAAGTATCATTATCCTTTCCCCACAGCTGACTGCGACTTCGACTCAATTGATTACTGTCAGTGGAGAGATCAGAGTGAAGGAGTGCTGGAGTTTACACATGTGCAGTCCGTCAACATCTCTTCTGGATTTCTCATTCACCATGACGGTGATCCTATGGGTCAGTATAAGTTACGCGATTTGTTTATATTGTTTTTGTTTTTGCTTTTGTTTTTTATGTAGGTGTTTTACACTTCTGTGGACACGATTTAGATCATTTTGGAGGTGGGTTTCGACCTTGCATCCAAAGGCCAATTTAGGAATCGAACTCAGGTCTTCTGTGTGCGATGGCGAAGGGTCTTAACGTTACAATATAGAGGCTGGTGATTTGTTAAAGGCTTGCAGAGTTGCTGTATCGACAATGGAGACAAATGCCGAAAAGACAAAACAAATGTAAAATGAAATGTTTAAGAAGCGATATTGAATGTTGAAACATATCAAATCAATGATTTAAGCCGTCTGATCTACATGTTATTTCTTTATCTAACTTGAAGAGTAACACCAACAAAATAGAGACAGGCTTAAGTATGACATTATTTTTGAGTCACATGACATGTAATTTTGCTATTTTGATTGAAAAAAAATACCCCCCCCCCACCCCACGCACACACAGAAAGTCTTTTTCTCAAGCAGAGAGGTTTTTTTGTCGTTTCATAAATTTTTTCAGGTTTTTTACAATAACCCAAAATCCAAATACATTCCTACTCCCCTTTACAGTTGCTTTTTTCCCTACAATAATTCAAAAAGCCAAATTCACCCCTCTCCTCAACTAAATGTTTTAAAATACGACCTTTTACTATCCACAGGCAAGTTCTTGACCACACAACACTACATTGGGTCCAGGAGTCTGTTCGCCGAGCTGGTCCTACAGCAGAACCTGGGACCCTCGGCAGACTCGTGTCAGATGACCTTCTGGTATTACGTGGCTCCCGAACAAGGAACAAGCACAGGTGTGGGCTGGAATAAAACAAACAAACAAACAAACAAACAAAAGCAAAATACAGATATGAAAACCTTTAAAAAGTACCAAAAAACCCTACTTTTGTGTCTGTATACTAGTTTATATCCCTTCACAAACACAGCCCATAAAATCAAGGGTTGAAGTGGGTTTTGTTTGGGTCTGTTTTTCCAAACTCAAGTCATGCAATCGCGCTCACCCGCACACCCGCATACGCACACACACTCACACGCTCACACGCGCACGCACGCACGCACGCAC